GGGTTGTCACCAACTTCTTTCTACTAAGTGCACAAAGTAAAAAACACAGTATTGTCTTCACTTACACAAAAAATCTGGCTATGACGTCTTGTTGTTCATGTCTTTATCCAGAAAAGTTAATAAGATGATTCCTCTAAACTCTTATAATCTTTGACTAAAAATACTTCACTTCTTAATTACTTTCTATTCTTCCAAAACTCTGCACCATTTGCATAAAGCGTAATGGTCAGGATTCAGCCTTGATACAGCTGTATTCTGCAGTTCCCGTTGCCAACTAAATAGCCTAATGAAGACAAGAGATATCATTGTAGTACAGATATTATTTTATGATTCAAGTCATAAATGCAATCTCTTCACTGACCGATTTCAAATTCTTACAATAACAGAACAATGAAAAAAATATTATTAGGATGTGACTACCCATGAAAAACCAGCAGTCATATGAAAACATTATCACTAATTCAGACAAGAAAGTGCACAAAACCTTTGTTATATGTATAACAATGTATTTTATATGCATCATTATGCTTCAGTAAATACAAACAATAAGGTTCCATAAGTCAGGTCAGATACCTTTTATTGTACTTTTAACTGAGTCACCCATACCTATTGAAATAATATGATTGACATCACTCACAGCCAATGAAAATGGGAGAGAACCTGGGTGACCAATTAAATTATGGGACGCCAATGCCAGCCCAACCCCCTCACTGGCTCTGCTTCTGGGCTGCAGCTTAAGGAAGTTTCCCGACGCGGCACCTATTCTTGTTTTGGCTCACCTGTAAACTTGAGCTGTCCAATCACATACGCCGTTATATTTTCTTGATAGTGCATGATGCTGATTAGCCGAACAATGACGTTATTCAAGACAACCATGAGAAAAATTGTGAAAGAGACTGGCCAGTTGTGCCACACGAGTGTCCTGGCATCTAAGCGTTTAAGTCATTGTTTGAATACAAAGTAACTTCATCTAGGTGGTGCAGAAACGGCACGGCCAGTAAATTATTCATGCTTGCAAAAGCCAGATGGCATATTAATCAGTTAAGTTTGGGGACTCGACAAACATCTACAGAGATCATAGCCCTTGTAGGACATGTGTGTATACCCTGTTAGTGTATTTGAGTGCTTTTTTAATGATCCAAAATTTACTTTTCAGTAATCATTTCACTTAGCTACAAGGTTATTAGAAACAGTAGGCAGGAATTTGGTTCAGATCATTTAATTGAGCTTGACTAATAAAATACTGACTGTGTATTGACAATTGAAAACCTGATACATTTGGGAATTCTTTGAGAGATTTGTCAAGGTGAAATAAAGCTGAAGCAATTTTATTCAATGCTCTAAAATTATTTACTGAGCACTAACATGACGAATTGGCAGCATTAGACTTTTCTGGACACAACTTGTGAATGTGGAGTCGGTGTGATCAACATTCATAATTCGACATATTGTCCTGTACGCAAGTTGTGAACCTACCGCTTCTGATTTGATACAGTCTCTGAAAACAGACTAGACACAGTTGATTGTGGAGATTCAATCCACCACGTGAATTGTGCATAATTTCCCCTGCGTACTGGCCTCGGTTATGCAACGTCATATCATTTTGCACACAACTTGTTTAATACCAGCTCAGAGAAATTTATAATATTAAAATCACAACAAATGGCCATTTCAGTCACTATTAAAGCACAAGTATAAAACAGAGGACTGAAGCGCAAAGGCTGGAGCTTGGGAACCGTTCTCAAGCGATACACTTCATTACATTCTATAAGTTACAGCATGTCTTTACGGCGACTTAACTGACTTAATGATACTGAAGATTTACAATAAAGTATACAGCCAACACTTGTGTTTCACCGGCATTATTTGAGAATTACACATGTTTTCCATCCTTTTCCATACTCCTTTGCAGTAGGAGAAAAGCAGATTTCAACCACACTGACAATACTGAAATAAAGACAAAACCAAATGTCTTGCTGTTGCATCACATTAATTTCACAATTAAAAGTGTGCAACCCACAAAATATTAAACTTCTGACTCAGACCATTATATTTTATATACTGTAGATTTTCTTAACTGTTGGTACAGATACTGCTTTGGTCAGGTCCCAGCAGTCTCTGGGAGCAGCTAGTCAAAGGACCAGCTAGTAAAATGACTAACAGTTCCTGAATGTCACTGAGGCCTTCAGAAGAACTTAGTGGATTCCTGTACACTCCGGTTTCTGCTTTGAAGAATGAGTCATATCCTTCAGTTCTGGGCATTTCATACCTTTTTCTCCTAAGACATTGCCAAGTTCCACTCAACGTTTGGCCTCCGTTACCTAAGGGAATGGCATTACGGATGAAGGACCACATCTCTCTGCATATCTACCCACACACAGTCTTCAGCTCCACCCCCGCCCCATCCCCCCCGCCCTCTAGGCGGCCTGCTCCCGTCTCCGGCGACCGTAGCTATCATAGATCTCCAGGAACATGTCCCTGCAGTGGATGCGGGCACCCAGCTTGGAGCAGATGAGAAAGGAGCCGGCCATCTTGCGGTGTAGGGAGTAGGTCTCCTCTGGCGGCGGGGTGAGCCGGTGCCGCAGCATGACGGGGATCAGGTTGTGGATGCGCTGGGTGGTGCTCTGGGTGCTGAAGTCGAAGGGGCCTGGAGAGGCGAAGGCCTCGCCCAGGATCATCACAGCTTCCGTGTGGGCTTCCTCAAACGCCTGGGAAGATGGAGCACAACCTGGCTAAAAGCGCTGGGAGGCTGGGACCGCTGAGGAAGCACACGAGGTGTGGAGCGAGCAAGACGAACCATGAGAGGGTCTGACCTTGGTTTCAAAGCCTGTGAGGAACTTGAGATCCTTGGATTTCTGCAGCACGGCCGCCCGGTCTCCCACCGAGGCAGCATACACCACCTGTGCAAGTGGCAGGCCAAGAAGAATGCAAGTAGGCGCAGCGCTAACATCAAATGCAGCTCCTCAACGCACATTGGCTACAGGCTGGGGTGCTGCTAGAGGTTTTGGGCCCCATGAAAGCCCGTCACACTGGGCCCCCAACCCAGACCAATCCAATTATGCAAATTTTGGAATCATCATAACCCCCAACCGCCCCCCCACAGCACCCCTGGCTACAGGTATTTTAATTTATCTCTGCAAATCATGGCTTTCATCTGAAATTTTAATGCTTAAAAAATTTCAGATTACGGTCAAGTTTATTAGAATTGGTAAGATTACACAGTCAAGTTCAGCTTTTTCGCTACAAAGCCATTAACCCGCCCAGGCCTGTATGACTCTGATCTGCTTTTACCTCTATGTAGTCATCAGTAAATTTCTCTGGGTAATCCCGGCAAGCCCCAAAATCCAGCAGGAAAATCTAAAGACATGAGAATATGGAGGATTAAAATTACCATGTTTCCGCATTATATGCACGTTTTCATGTTAGTCACAGCCACAACGCAGTTTACAAACCTTGTCCTGTTCTGCATTGTAGAAGAAGTTAGCCCAGTTAGGGTCGGTCTGCATGAAGCGGAACTCAAACAGCTCCCTCAAGCACAGCTGCAGGATGCTGAAGCAAATCTGCGAGAGCAAATGCAATATATTATACATATATAAAAGGAGAAGGAACACAGGAGATATTTCAATACTAAAAAATGCAATACTGCCACCCTGTGGCCAATTTCCATATTGACAGCACACCTCCAAACCATGTGGTTTCTGCCTTTTTGGTACTGAGAGCTGTGGTTTACCCGATCAAAATGGTATTGGCTACTCTGTTAAAATGGCTTTAAAACTAATTACAAACAATAAAATGACTTTGAATGTAAATAATTTAATATGGGTATGATAACGATTAAGAAATATTTATATTTCCATTAATTCAAGCACGTATAACCACATAAAGGCTGGATGTCGCAGAGATGGGTAATGACTTAAAACCCGGAGCCTGGGATGAGCAGAATTACATAACCCTGGCTAATCGAATCAGTCTGATCAATGCTCTGACACGGTGTCGCTGATTTAGACGCGCAGCTCGGAAGACCGACACAAGCCACAATCAAGACTTCAAAAGAAAAGCTCATCTAGGTGGGCTGATGGTAGCAGCCAAGGGTCTGCGAGGCGACACCGTTTTAATTAAATAACAGCGAGGCCGCAGAGGAGCCAGTGAAGGGGAGATTTCCGGGAAGCCGTCCAACTTGTGGACGCACCGGGTACCTCGCGGTGCTACGGCGCCATATTCCATCAGAAGAGCAGAATACAAATCCCCGATTTAAAAAAATAAATTAAAAATGGACAGACGGTGCAGATCACCCGAGAGTCGCCCCAGTTTAACGGCAGGTTATTCATGGAGAGCAAGGAGGTTGGACCAGTTTAGCTCCACCTCAACAAACTGGTTTTATGCTCCTGTCATTTCTTCTGTCCAAGCTGTTGGTAAAAAAAAAAGCTCCGTCTCGTGGACACAGACCGACGGCACCGCAAGCACACGTCCTCAGATCCTCCACCTTGTTCCGCGTCTCCTGGCTAAGGTGCACGCAGTGGTCCAGCGACACCCCGGCCACCATCTCAGTGGTCAGGACGCGGCCGCTTGTCAGCCTGTCCACCACCTCTGGGACCCTGAGAAAGGGGTCCGCCTCCAGCAGAGCCCTGCGATCAAACGTACAGCACTTACACACGCGCCACTCCACATAAGAAGCCACTTTTCTAGTACGAAGGTTCGTTTCGTTCAAAATCTTGTTTACAGTCTAATATTCTGTTTTCTCACCATTCAATTCAAGTCAAGTCAATTTATTTTTACACAGCGCCTTTCACAACAAAGTCATCTCAAGGCACATCACATAGATGTGTTGTGATACGTTAAACATCATTAGAGAGAGTATTATCTCGTTTTATGAAACATTTACATATTTCGGGCTGTAATAAAAAAAAGTCATGATCACATCTTACACTTCTTTCTGTAATCTGACTGATCTAAGAGGGACTCATTTTTTTTATCAAGTTTGACTTGCTAAAGAGCTATTTTGTGTTCAATTTAAAAAGTAGCTGCATGACTGATAATTGATTTAATGTTTAATTTAATATTAGAATTATTGCAATTTCATTTGCATCCACAACTATTATTATACGGTTTTATTGAGAAAACTATATGTCACCTCGAAATCAACCAGCTTCAGTATCTGTGACCCATTTGTGGTCAAAACCACTTGGCTGGCCTAAAACGGACAGTTACACTCCAGACTATCATGAGGACCTTCAGTGCTGCCGTATACAACAGCTCAGGGTTTGTCCGATGGAGTCTTGGGGTTTCTCTATAAGAGCCTCCTAATGATTAGCTATTTGAAATGAATAATCCTCACAACACAGCCCATTAACCTACCGTACTCTCCTATCAACCTGACCCAAAACAAGCAGGATTTAGGTGTTAAGTAAAAAAAGCAAAAAACCCATATAGAGGTTCACCATCAGCCAATACAGCAGGTCAAGAAGATGGTATTAATGACTATGGTGGGCTTTGTTGTACTCAGCTTTTGTCCAAAGTGCAAAAAACAATTATTTTCCCGGCAAAGACGTTCAAACCCACAACCAATGACAGCCAGCAGTATTTTTATAGGTGTAAAGTTTTTTTTATATTCTGACCTCCAACAGATTGTTTCACTACCAAATAAACCCACAGGCTTCACATTTTCACAGTACCTGAATCGCTTGGCACATTTTGCTTCCCTCTTGTAGTCACACTCCCAAGCTAGCTCTCTCTGAAGGACCTCCAGGCTGCTGTCTGCAAACAAGCCTGCGCAAAAAAAAACAACAACCAAATGTCTGCAGACCCCAAAGTGGGTGGATTAACGACGACAGGCTGCGTGATGACAGTGTCCGGTCTCACCTTCAGGCAGCACTACGCTCATTTTCAGCACGGCCATCAAGTTGTTAATATCGCTGTGGATGCTCTCAGCAACGCCTGGGTACTGGTGCAAGAGGGAGGGCGGAAATTACCACAACATATGGACAGACAGTCTCCTTAAATTTGGTCCTCGTATGTCACATGGCTAGACCAAGGGACTCCGGCAACGAAAAGGTCATCATGGCTTCAGCTAGATCTGAAGTGAGCTGAAGCAGAACTGCTGGGCCTATTTAAAAGCATCACACATGCTCCGTTTAATAAGATGTGGGCCTCTTCGAATGAGGCATCCATCACGACAGTGGTGCCCTGCAGTGTTGATCCCTACTGTATTAGCCATCTGTAGTGTGGAAGCCCTGATGGGAATTAAAATTGGCCCACATTCCATCAGGTGGATCGCATGGCTGGGTGCCTCTGCCTGACGCTGCTCTATGGCGACACCTACTGCCAAGTGGGTGGAATTGACCAGTAAATTCACGGGAAATGATATCATCCATAGTTGGGAAAACGATGAAAGACGGAATAACTGGCCATCCCAAACTGGGATGAAAATAGGGAGCTGTAACCAGCTGCGGTTCAAGATCACAAATTCAGCACGCAGCAGACATGCCCGTTTTGGGCACTTTTACACCAGAGAAGGGCTGGAGCGCCTTGCTGCATCTACTCACCTGGATCTTCAGGGCCACCTCCCGCCCATCGGGCAGCACTCCGTGGTGGACCTGCCCGATGGATGCTGCCGCAAACGGCTTCTCCTCGAACGAGGCCAGCTCCTCCCTCCAGCCTGCGCCCAACTCCTCTTCCAGAACATTCTACACAGATGACCGGTGCATGGATCGTGTCAGACCATTACAAATGTCTGGCTAATTGGGGACGCAGAGAAATTGTGGCCAGACCGAGTAGTAACAGCCAACCCTGTGTAATAAAATTAACACATTTTAACTACATCACTGAAGGGGGGGGGGGGACTCTGACAAATCAAATAGCCCAGGAGCCTCCACCCATGTAACTAGCTTTATAAAACGTGCGTGTCAATATATTAGGGCTGTCAAACTTAACACATTAACATGCACAATAAAATTTTAAAAGAATGACGCATATTTTTTAATCACGTTAAAGCACAGTCTCTCTTAGAGGCCCATTTGGAGTCAAGACAATGTGTTTATCGAGTTTTCTGTACCACGGCATTCATCGGCTCCAATAATTTTTTTGGCTTTTGATGCATGTCTGTTAGACATTGTCTACCGCTGTGTGAACAATTATTTTGACAATAGCAAACTGCTGTCTTATTTGTTTGATTATGTACTGACGTACACACATACACACACACACACACACACACACACACACAGTACTTTGCAAAAGTCTTAAGCAGTCAAAGTAAATGTTTAAAGCTATTTATCTGGGTAGAAGGTGTATACGTGCTCAGAATCAAAATACAATTTCGCCTTAGAACATGTGAAAATTAAGCATAACAAAAACTCATAAGAATTTCTTCTGTTCTCCAAAAAGTTACTGATATCTTGTCCAATGGCTTGAAGAACACAGATTCAGATCCCAAACCCCAGTCATCCCATATATTTGTGAATTTTTACCACCAGCTGACTTGGTTAGTTTTAATAAGTCAGTGATGTATCGATTAGCCATACAAGGTGAGCTAGCGGCCGAGTCAAACTACACGTGGGTGTATTGGATGACTGCTGCAAATTCTGGGGTGAGGTTTTCATGTGGCTAAGCTAATGTACTTTTACAGACATAATATTAGGGTTTTACACCAAGATGATGATCATTTAAATATCATTTCCTTCCACTAACTACGACTTGTGCACAGTACTGCATATACTCAGCGGAAACAACCCTGAGGACCAACACTCACCGTCATTTGCCAAGAGGGCATGAAGTCGGCACTCTGTCTGACACGCTCAAATATCTTTTGCACTTGGGGGTTGATGAAGCTGTTATCTAAAGGAGATATCGCCACAACAATGAACACTCCGGCCCGAATCGGCCTTCATTTTTCAAGTAGAGAGAGTTAACGCATAATTGATGGATGTTTAATCAGCATGTATATGTTTGACAAACAAAACATGAGGCCATCACAACACACACACAAATATTTATGCACACACTGAATATATAAAAAAAAAAACAAAAAAAAAAAAATCACCAATTGTACGCTTGTTAAAGTATTAACTCATAACATCATGTGACTCAAAAACAAGTATGAGGAGTTACACTCTATGATTGCTTGGGCTGAACAGGAGTGACAGACGACAGTGTGAAAGGCTACACACAGGCGAGAACGGGTCGTAGGCCCGAGGGAAGCTGGGGGGGCGCAGTACCTTGGATGCTGAGCATCTGTCCGATCTTGAGCGCCGCTCCGCGCACCTTGCAGAGGGTGTCAACGATCCTCTCCGCGTTGGCCTCCGACAGGAGTGGCGAGTCCAGCAGTGCAGCTGTTTCTGAAGCGGAGAAACCACACAGGGGCCTTTAGCGCGAGCTGGACAAACGCTGCCCTGCGTGACGAATCCCGCGCGTCCTCCATACCTACCTGATCGCTTGCCTCCCAGTGACTGCTTGGCTACTTCTGCAATGGCTCCCAGACTCAGGCCGACCGCGAGACCTGCAGGAGAGCAATGGCTAAAGGAGAGCGTCCTACGGCACAACCACAACAAACGTGTCTGTATTAACGTGAATGTACACAACATATCCTTTTTCCTGAGACTGTTGATACACAAATCATCTGGATCCCAAGTTAATTATTATGCTCCCTAGCCAGCCAATAGAACAGTTCCCAGTAACAAGGTACACAAAAATCCATGCCATGTTATACAGTAACTCTGCTGATCCACGCATGTAAAGCAGGAGTATGACTTCTAAAAAAATCCATGACGCAGAGCACGTCCCACATATCACAGACCTGACCAGCGTGAATAAGAGGCACTAACCCCCAAAATGAGCAAGCCGGCTGATACGGGTGGCTGGGACCTTCCTTTCTTTGGCACGGTCACTCAGCTGAAAAGCACAAGCATAAAGAAAGAAAAATACACATACATATATGAGGAACTGCTTCCGCAGAGGCTGTTGTACTAGTGTGTTACACGAGTGAGTAAACCTGGGTTTCCCTGGTCTGTATTCTGACTGACATTCTCATTACTAACAGTTAGTGAGGGAGACGGCGATGTTCTGGAAATCATAACACTGAGAGGTTTTCAAACTATAGGACGAAGAGGAAAAAACGCTGAAGCAGCATAATGCTATTCGATACAATTACACATCAGTGTAAACTATATTGCAATTTCAGCACAGACAAAACAGAGAGAGGTAAAAAAAAAAAAAAAAAAAAGGGCTTAATGGGGGAGAAAAAAAAAATCAGGTGCAAGCATATTTCAAGCATTTATTTCTAAAATATCGCAAAATATTCTAAAAAGCTAAACCGTGATATCAGAATAAAAAGACTGACACCTGCATGAGGTTATATGTTGTAGATCTTTATTGAGACATTTCAGTGTCAACAAAGAACATAAAAGCCAAGAAATGATGCTGCTAAAAATGTCAGGAAACACCCCCATCGTTTGGGAGCCAAGTTCCTCACCAAGAACTGTGTCAACTGTTTGCATTTGAGAAAACAGCTACACAATACAACCAATAAACTTTATTTTCAGTACTGTTAACATAAGCAGTTTTATGTAACAATTTTAAATACAAGTCTTTGAATACAAATCTATGCACATTACAGTACTGGCATTGAAATATATAACTCTATAAAATTCTGCAAAATATATATAAAAAAAATTTGAAAACCTCTCAATATCAAATGGCCATAATCTTGATTATATATTCTCATAAGAATAGCAATTGATTTTTATCCTTTGCAGAGGACATTACATCTAATATACTATACATGCTATTCTGCTAAGTCCTGTTGCTCCTTAACGAGGACAGGTTAGGCTTCGACGTGGCATCAGATGTGTGGGGACGTGCTTTGTACCATCTCCAACACTTAATTTATAAAGAAAAAAAAATCTGAAGCATATGCACTGTAAGGCACAGCTTTACCGGCCACCAACGTGCAAAAACAAAATATTAGAGGAAAACAAGCACAAATGTCATTATGCTTATTAGAAAACATGAAGTGCAGCATTCCTGTGTATAAACACACCTATGAAATCGTTTCATCTTCAATAGAATGAGAAATGGCCTATCATTCCTCAGAAGTTCTCTCTCACCTTCTGCCGCGGCAGTCTGGCGGCCGGTGTCCTGTTTGCCGCCGGCTTGGACTCCCTCGCCTTCTTGATGTCTTCTTCCGTCAGGCGGCCCACCGCCGAGTCGTGGAGCAGCCGGCGGCTCTGCGGCGCCGGGCCTTGGTGCAGGAAGCGGGTGCCCCGAGCCTGCCAACCGGGACTGTCTGTTCCGGCGCGAGGTACCGGGCCTCCGGCCTCCTGGACTGGCCGCTCCCCTCGGCCTGCGGAGTCCAGCGGCATCTCAGAGCCCACTGCCCAATTCGCTGCAGCATCTTGCTCCGCTTCTTCCCAGCTGTCGGGGAATTCTGACCTCACAGACTGGACAGGCAAGGAACAGATCCAATATTTGATTACTCTAACCAATCAGCAGCACGTTTCATATTATACACAATGGCTCCATATGATATATTACGCAGCTGGAAAGATAAAAGTCAAATGTTTATTCATATCATCATAACATGCAAACCATGTTTAAGAATGTGTGACACCTTGCAAATACTGGTATGATTAGGATTGGTTGTGTATCTGTAGCTATTCATACTCGATAGTAGAGAACACAGGATTTCACTTATGATGTTCGTTATGATACTGATTGATTAGGCTGCTGTAATTGTGTTTGTGTTTAATTATAAATCATTTAGAAACAAATTCTGTTTTCCCTGTTGTTCCAAAATTGCACCTAACAATGAACTGAAAACTTTGTACAGAACCGCGAGTTTTGTGTACCGTTACACCCCTAATGCTTGCCCTGAGATGGACTGCCATCCTGTCCTTCAAGGGATAAGTTTGAGCTTCTTTCAACCCAGCAGTGGATAACTGATTTGGGAGACGTAAGGATGAATGTTCAGTTCATGTTCAGTGAGGAAATCCATCAGAGATGGAGACAGTGCTGGAGGTTGTACCCACCGTACTGCTTCGAGCGGCTGCACCCAATATGCTCTCAACAAGCTCCTCTGCAGCCTTGACTCCTGCACCCACTGTGGAGTTGCAAGCCATGAGCCGCAGCTGTTCCCCTTGGATGGAGATGAAAGCTGTTCCTACACGTCCCATCCCTCGCAGCACCTGGAGCACCTCCATCAACATTGCTGCAAATAAATGATTTTTTTTTTTTTAAAGTGTTACATTAGTTCTTCTTACTGGTGTAGGACTGAAAACACAAGGGAAATTGTAATTTAACTAACTCCTGGATAATTTTATTAAAATACAGAAACTTCCTTTCAGCAGGTGCTCTTAGCTGAAGTTTTTGAGGAGTTCATTTTGACGGACTAGACATTTTAACAACGACATATACGTTTTATGCTCAGAGGGCCGATCTTCAGTTGATGATGAATCAACTGAATGCTCATTAGTTAAGTGGCTAAACTGAGTGTATATGCATGGTAGCAGTTAGACTGTCAGCTACAAGGTTATGAATGAATATTTCACTGGAAGTGACAGAATGAATAAATGAATGAATGAATGAATGAATGAATGAATGAAGGTTATATTTAAGACACCCAAAGTGCTTCAACCATCACCACTGTGTAGCATCCACCTGGATGAAACGAAGCTAAACTATTCTTTCTATCCAAATCAGTGGTATAGAAAACGCATGAATTCGGCCAACTATTTCTTTTTCACTTTTGCCAACACCGACTAACTAAATTAGCTGATATTAAGATATAATTTTGTGTCTTTAAACTATTCGTAGCCAACCTCTAGCTAGGCTGAAAAGTCCCTGCAAGTATGCTAAATTCAAACACGACAAGGAGACAAAAGAGATATCTGTTTACAAAAAATACTAAGACCAGGAGACAACCGAGAGACTTTACCTGCTATCTTTCAGAATGAAAGCTCGGCAGTCGTGTCCTTCACTTTCCTCCCCGCAAACACGCACGCGCGATTTCAGGTCCTTGGCCACGCCTCCATAACCCGGAAGTAGTACCACAGACATCGGACTTTGATTTAAAATAAATACTTCTGTCTGTTTGACAACAGAGTAGCCATTCAGTTGTTGTGCAGCGCTCATACGAGTTTAGTGTCATTAGATGATTGACGACTAACACATCAGTAATTAGACCAATGAGAGAAGTGCGCCTGGTAATATTTGGTTGCAAAAAATAATTCAGGAAATGAGCTTAATATTAAAAACGCATGTAAGTAAAACCACCTATGCTAAATGCTCTACGCCGTTAAATAAACGGTATTTATAATTTGATTCTTCGTCTGAAATGGCAGTGTAATTAGGCACAGAAGTGAATTTAGCCTATATGTTATTGATCAATTAAATATTTTTCTTTTAAAAAATTGGACGACATAAGAGCAATCATATAATCACCATGCTGATTGTGATTTGGGTAGCATAGTGGCTCAGTGGGTAAATTATCTACAACGATAAATACCGCTATAGCCTATAGTAAGCGCGGCCAGAATCTCCTGGTAAAGCGCCTTAAATACGTACCACGAGGATACTAACTTGCAGAAGATGAGTCTGCCTTGCTCGTATATCCATTCAGATGATTGCTTTTCCTGTTACAGCGAAATTGCACCGATCTGTGAATCCAAAACCATTTGTACATAACCCTGAGTTTTCTGTAGTTACACCCCAGCTAAATATTCACCGGAAATACACATGTAAATCCTATCTTGAACATGTGATCACATAGCCTAGGCTAACGTAACCTCCATGGCCACTCTACCGTTTGGCGCTAGCTAGTTTAGAAAGGTCACATTGTAGACTGTCAGCGATCTGTGAGTTATTATTCTGCATTATAATTGCATCTGTATTACAGTGACCAAGCAGTAGCGGGCAAAGCGATTCCCCTTACAGTGCCTTACTTGGTTTATGTTAGCCTCAGCTGGGGCTCCGCCCCTCCTCAGAGACAGGCTGTTGCCTGGTTTAGCCTCTGGCACCTCCCATTACCTTGGCCAAGGCTAAGTGGTTGAAAAATAAATTGATTGTGACTTGAATCGTGATGGGTTGTAAAAATTAACGTTCAAATTGGCACATCTTGAGAAACTGAATACCATTAAAGATTAATTGTAGTAACTGGCTCTATGAAAAAGATGGGCATATTTCTGCTTCCAGTCATAACACGTGAATCCCATACCGATCATAAATATATAACTACTACTAGGCTACATAACATACACCTGGTATAATGACACGTTTCCTTAAAAGCTATAATTGGTTTAAATTGTAATTAACCACCTAATGTCAATAAATGTATATCTTATTTAATTGGAAACTACGGGGGTTGGACAATGAAATTGAAACCCTGGCCAAAATAGTGTTTGAGATTTCATGCCTGTATATGCGCAGACTGGTGGCCAGTCTTCACTGATTGCACACTCCATCAATAAGAGTAGAGTGTGAAGGTTGAATTAGCAGAGCAATACCACAGCTGTAGATAAAATATTGCAATCTACACAACATAATGGGAGACAGAGTTCAGAAGAGAACAAATTGTTAGTATGCATCTCGCTGGCACGTCTGTGACCAGGAAAGCAAGTCTAGTAGTGTATCGAGAGCCACAGTATCCAGAGTAATGTCAGTATACGACCACAAAGGATGGAGTGGACCAACTGGAATAACTGTCAATGCGAAAGGAAGCTGTCTGAAAGGGATGTCCGAGTACTAACCCGGATTGCATCCAAAAAACATAAAACCACAGCTCCCCAATTCACTGTAGAATTAAACATTCACCTCAACTGTCCTGTTTCCACCAAAATTGTTCATTGAGAGCTCCACAGGGTCAGTATTCTTGTTTGTGCTGCTATAGCCATTTTTCAGAAATGCTGTAGGACAGCTGAACTAGACAATACATAGACTAACAACCTTAATATATAAACTGGCATATTAGCTTTCTACAGCAGTGGCTGATTATACATTATATGCCCAGCAGTAAAATGCTGATAGTTCTTGTATAGGAGAGACGAGAAACTGGAGCCTGCTGTCACAATTTGAGGCCCGGTCTCCTTTACATAGGACTGGGACACGCTTAATTGATCAAGATTACAGAATACAACCTAAAACATTATTTTTATATATATGACCTGTAATTAAATTTTTGCTACTCAAAATGTATTTATAGATATCTACAATAGGAGTTCTTACTAGTTAAAATTGAATTATAGAGCTCTACGATATGACTTTCCACTAGTGAAAAGTGAATTCAGGATATTTGAGGCCAAAATACAATGGAAGTCATTGGGAGTATATGACTAGTAAAAACTGAATTATAGAGCTCTATAATATTAATTCTTACTAGTAAAAATACAATTCTTACTAGTAAAAAATCGCATTTTTCAAGTAAGAATATTATTTTTATTATTAAGAAGTTGTGACAAGTAAACCTTATACTAATAAAAGACACTTTGACTTGCCATATGCCATCTAAATCAAAAGATGCGTTGTATCAGGGACGTGTAGGCGGAGTGTGCCGCATATGGATGGGCCATACCATTAATTTTCTTCCGATTTGATCCAATACAGGCTGGTGTTGCCTATGCCGATATTCTTAAGTCATGTGTACGCATTAAATGGCAATAGTTCTGAACAATATTGGGAAAATTTCACAATGTAACATCTAATTGCAATAAATATATTAATCCATATTGCCATATTTAAAAAACAAAAAGGAGTTTAGAATAGTTTGTCAGACAAGTTGGTGGTGTTGCCCCGAGTTGAAACAACACAAAACCATGCTGACAAACCATTTACTTTGCTATCTTTTCTATGGAATTCAACATATTTCTATATTTACTGGAAAACTAATATCTTTCGGTGACCAGTTTTTGTTCACTTTTCTCTTTTTTTTAAATTACATTTATCACAAATACTTTATACTGCATATTAATTAAACAATGAGGAAATTACTATGAATGGCCCAGAGAGCATACGTATGCAAAAGAAGAAGCTGTAAACTTTACACTGATTTTTAAAGATACTACATAATCATTAAACCTGCTTAGCTAATTTTATCGCCAAGATTTCAAAATACTGCGTGCATACCGAAAATATATTTGAAAATACCGGATTAGCATTGCATAGCAGCCCACTGTCCATTCGGATCATTGGCTACTCTGACAAACATCACATTTTTACATCGTTACTATCTTGTACTTTAAAATAACTACACACGAAACTACAGTTTCTTTCCATTGGTTCAGACTCCCGGGCTCTACCGATTGCACCCTCTTTCTCCCACCACCGTGATTGACTCATGCTGTAGTTCTTATAGTCTAGAGCAGGAACAGCAGTCCTGCCCTAAAACCGACAACATATGTCCTGCTAATAGTTCATGTCCAGCTCCCTATAATACATTTACTTTGAACTATGTGTACTGTCTTTGTACCTTGTCTTTTTGGCAATATATGTACGTTCTTCTGTGCTTGTATGCACCAGAATGTCCGCCTGGGATCAATAAAGTTAGTCTTAATATACATTTGAAACATTTAAACGCCACGTATAAAAAAGTAAGAAAAAAAACTTTATAATCGATTCTCAAAAATGAATCAAGAGGTAGTCTATATGAGAAATAAATGACATTTCAGTATCGATCTGCATATCCTTAATGCCAGAACGATTAAATGTGCCACTCATTTTTGACTCCCCCTCGTCTCTGCACGGCACTGCCGTTTTTTCATCTCTTTTTTCATTAACCTTAAGTTGCCCTAATATGGTCATTGTGCACCTGCTTGAAGTTGTCCCTCCCAATTTGTTCACACAGGATCAGTGTGCATATTTAAGCATAAATCAAGGAAGCCCATTTCATTAATATTTACTTATTCTACTTTTCTTGTATTGGATGACTACTGGGTTTGTTGTTGCCTTCTAAATATAATTAGGACAGATGTTTCATATGCATATATAATATAAATAAATAAATTTAATGATTAATGACAAAAAACATCCAAAAATCCTTCTTTGAAAAATCCTTCAATGATTCACATGCATTGTAAAGGGAATTTCATTGACTAACAACGATTGCGGCAGTTACATTAATAAGAAAATGAGGTAGGGGTTTATATGAGAAATCGTTGTGTTGTTCTTACTTAGGTCTGGGGAAAATACAAAGTAGTTTTTCGAAAGATATCAGCCGTTTGATTTTACTGCAGATATTCTTTGTGAGAGTGGGAGTGCTAGGGATGCCCCAGTTTTCTTGATTGGTAATTTGAATACAGACAGCAAACCCTGATCATAGGAAAGCCAAAAAGAAAATATAGGGTCCATCTGGCACGACTAGGGTGATAAGGAAGTAGCTGATAACAGTGACCAGAGAGCATCAATTTTTCCACCGAACCAGTTTAGCGGACATCGATCTTGAGGTTTCGTCAGAATTTCTATTAATTCCATCAGAGAAACGGCCATGCATGCATTCAAGTATATAAAACGTTGTTTTGGTTTGTTTGTTGTGCAGGTTATGTTTATATAACATGCTTAATAAACGGCAGAACAAAACTGAAAAATCTGTCAACAGTTTTGATTCATCGAGAAGTGAGGAACTTTGAATGGTCTGCTTCAGGTAATCTGTCATGTTGTCAGTAAAACGAGTGTTTCTATATTACTTTGACAAAAGCATCAATATAATTGTGTGTCAAAACAGCCACACGCCACAATCTTTGTTTATCAAGTTAAATACTAACTTCATTCTACCTGCAAACACTGACTGGGAGTACCGTCAGGTGCAAGTCAGTGCAAGTGGTCACGTTGGACCATCGTTTGCAAGCATTTGCAATTCCAGCACTCGTGGCTCGTGGTAGCAGGGGGCGAGCGTGGGAGGGATGGGGAGGGGGTGCTGGGGGAGGGGGGTGGCTGAGGAGGATGCCATATATGGGCACACCACCGACTCGGCCTCGCTATTGGCTGTGGGTCTTGGGTAGCAGCCTGTCAACAAGATGGCCTTCCTCTCAGCCGCCTGCACTCCGCTCCATTATTTTGGTTGTTGGGGGAGCGCATTTTACTAGTCGGCCTGCTCCGCTGGCGAGCAGGAGGATGGTCTCGCGAGTCGAGCTTTTTCGTAAAGTACCGAAACTATAGTTGGCTTTAATGCGGGGTTTTCCCCAGCAGACCGAGCGAACAAGAAGTAACAAGTAGTTAAACGTACATAAAGAGGATAGTAAGAGTAGTAGGACCTGTCCTCTCGCTGAGGAGCAAGGCCGGAGTTCCGACAGCCCCCTACGTGCCTTTGCGGAGAAGAGTACCGTCACATACCGGGTGATAATAATATAGGGAGCCCGAGGTAAGATGAACGAAGTGTTCTAGTTAGTAGGTTGATATTTTAATAGATAACTGTGAAGGTGGCTGTGATTCGCGGGCTAGTATGGACGACATGCTAGGCTAGGCTACTACCAACCCCCAGCTATCTGTGTGCAAGCGGTGAAAAATGCTTATGTCGACTGCGTTAGGTAGTTATATAGATAATTGTACAAATTTAATACTGAATATGTAAACAAAATAAAGGGTTTGAAGTTTAATGAGGGCTAGCGGGGCGGTACGGCGCACTGACCTACGATGTGCTGTCACATCCTTGTCTTGCGCTTCGATAAAGGAAATGCAAAGTAAAAATATTAATACAGCCCTTCAAAAGCTGCCACCAGATTATATTCTCAGGTTATGAGTAGGCGATTTCTTAACGGTCTTCATTAACTCGGCACTTTTCTGCCCTTTTGTCTGTCTGGCCAGCTAGCTGTATAGTTATTTTCGAAACGTCAATTTTACTCGTTAGCTGGTTAGCGTAGTCATTCGCTTTGACAGCTTTACTGTGTATTTCTGTAACGCATACATTTGTTTTTGTCGATGTCTAATAATAAATAACATGAGACCAGCTAGTCTTTTAGTTTATGTAACTTGTCTGGTTAGCGGTCTTGTTGCGAAGAAATTAAAAGGACTTGAATGCTATTTCTTAGCAGGATGCAACAAAATGTTATGGAAAACTACTTTCAAAACACTTTGAGAGAATCTAAGGCTATTCATAATACTCGCTGAAGCAAACTGTACTGAATAATTTAGGTAACCGGTTATCAGATATCCGACGTGCTTGTCAATACTTCCTTTAATATATAATCCATTTAACTTACTATTGCCATGTTAAAATGATGACTAATGAATGGTAAATAATGGCTTAAAATTCCTAAATTATTATTTTTACATCCACTTTTCTTTTGATCTGTCACACACTGTCAGCAGCTATATGATACATGAGCCCTCTGTGTACCTGCAAACGTTTATGTGATACTCCCTTCGTTGGACATACTGCTTAGGTTTTGACCTGTATGTTAAAGGAGAGTGGCAAGCTTAATATCAATTGCATTTCTACCCCCTATGAAGATGTGCTGGCTTTGTGCCAGCCAGGAAGGAATTTTATCTATTAGCCCTCAGGTTTCATAGTGGCAGGTCACTGACCTTGCTGACTGCTTGATCAAAGACCATTTCTGCTAGGAATGCTGGTCTTCCTCAAAGTAATACACCCAAGACAACTTGCGTGCTGCCTGTATTGCATGCAGCTATAAAATTGCATGCAGTGGTTTGCTTCTCCTTTCATTGTTACTGATATTACATATTGAATAAAAATGGATAGGATTTAAGTAATATGAGAAATATTTTTGGTAGACTTGGATATTGATTTTGGAAATATCTGGGTTAAAAAAAATCCAGGTCTTGAAATATCCCTTGGAATGTGAAAGCTTTATTTTATTTTCTTTACAAAGAGAATGTGTCTGGCCATCCCACTCCAGAGCACTGTCTCCATCCTTGGACCTCTTGCAGCCATCGATCGGCAGCTGTGGCACCTTTGTTTAATTAGCTTATTCATTTGTCTGTGCTGCTCTGTGATGAAGCGGGCTGCTTGATGATCTTATTGCTGGATTAGATGGGGTGACTGAAGCCAGGACCAATGTTCTGTAAGGAGAAGAGTGGAGGGTCTTGCAGGCTGCAGTGCAACACCCCTTCATTGTCTCTGCGGGCCAGAGAGACGGAGTGAGCTGGTGGAGGTGATCATTTATCACCTGTTATGTACAGTCTGCAATTCTTAGTCTATGAAAGAGAGCTCTGCATTAGCCTCTTAGACCAGGCTGTACTCCTTAAGTCAGTACTTGTGAAATTATTTCTGATTTGCAGCTGCTTTTGTTGTGGGTTTGTGTGTACTGTTTGGGGGGCATGGGGGGGGGGTTTGAGCTGCAATTTAGTCATATGATGTCATGGTGCACAGCTCCATTGCTTCATCCTGGGTAAGGTCACAGAAATGGACTCCCCCCTGACAGCTGCACGCATGCCACAGTGCAGGTGGTAGCGCCAGTCAGGCCTGTGCCTGGAACGCTGGGCCAGGATTTGGTGGATTATGCAAATGGATTAATATTGTTCTTAATGTGCAGGAATTATTTGAAATGAGAATAAATAGCCTTATGGTGTAGAAATGAAAGAGCCCTTCACCAGAGTGTTCTGTCATTTTGCAGATGTTTGCTTTGTCTTTTTTTCTGTTTTGACCTGCCAAATGATGTCATTGACTTAACCAGATTTTCCAGACTAGTCTCGGCACACAGAAATGTATGAAGAGTTTGTAACAAGGATCTTTGACCTTGAGGGTGTGTTTTATTGGCTAATTGCAGGCAGCAGGTAAGAAGCATAGAGAGGCTGGACTATACTTTTTCGGGTCTTTTGCCTGGTTTTGTATTCAAGTCACTAGTTCCCTATTACTATATCCAGAGTCAGTCGATTTTAGTTGAAGTCAGGCTGCTAAACAGTTGTCAGACATTTGCTGTTATCTTTTCCTATCAGCCAGCACATCATGGCTTTGTCTTAGACATAATCTGTTTACTACCCTTTAGCTTACCTCAACAGAAAGCACAGGAGGAGGCTGATGCGGACAGGGCCACGTCATTCATCACTCGCACCCTCTCCCAGTGTGCATGTTGTATGCCGTTTCTTGTCTTGTGGTTGTTCATTGCGGACACACGTGAATAATAGATGCGTCTGCAAGTGTTGTTAAGAAAGGAGTGAAGTTGACTCGCCCCATTGTTTCTCAGAGTTAATTCGACCTATTGTCTGTGTGAGCTGGGATGGCAGATAAGACAACATGTTCATTAAAATTATTTTTGCAGCTCATTAAAAAAAAAAAGAGAACTGCTTCCTCAAAGGGAGGAAGCATTTTCGGTTCTATTGGGAGATATTAATGTTTTATGTAATGGTGCAGAGGACAGGAGAGAAGTGAACGGGTGAGCGGCCTTGCAGATGGGAATGTCGCTGCTTTGATACAGGCACTGTAAATCTGTGACATCGGGCTTTCGAATCTCGCTGCGCGATGACAAACTCTTTAATCAGCCTGTGCGACGGGGGAGCAGCTAAAGGCAGCTCCAGGTTTGATGGGACGGGGAGGCTCTGGGGGTGGGGTGGCTTATGGGAAGCGTGAGTGCTGACAGGGAGCGAAGAATCATGCTGACCACGGCTTTGTGCGGCGACACGCAGGATGTGCACGCAGGGGTGCCTTATGCACATGCAGTCATGTGTAACATGCTTCAGGCGAGCGTGTTGCTGGATTTTGGCCCGCCCACGCAAACTGTCCTCACCTTTCTTTGTTCTACAATTATTGTTTTATGGTTTTCTTCAAGGTCTGCTTTTCCATTTTAGACATCGTGGTGATGGCTTGAGAGTCTGTTGATGTCCATTTACTCTGGAGTGGTACATTCCTCTGCATTACTGGAATGACGCCAACAGCAGTGTGCAGTGAATAGATTTGCTACCCTGAAAGAATACTCTTTTAGACTTCTTGAGGTACTGGCAGACAATCGATTTCCATATTCTGCTGTTTCCAAGCACCTTAAAACAGTATTGACACCTGCCTGTCTGTTCTGGGCTGCCTCCATTTAAAGCAAACACGGTCCATTAGCCATGCTAACACGCCATCATCAATACTTAAAATACTGCACCTGAAGTGGAACCATTTAATTTATTTCAGACTTCAAGGGCAAGATCACTCTTCGCCGTAATCTGAGAAGTTTGGTAATTTAGTTTGGCCATTTTGTGAAAGCAGTTCTTATGCTGTTAGTCACAGAAGGTTTTGAAATGCCTGGATTGAACCTTCTCCATTTTCAGGTGTGGTATCTTTGGCCTAAATGATCAACAGGGACAGGGATGACCATTAATGAGGGAAAAGTCTGAATGGAGATAATGGCGGTTGTAGATGTTGTACCATCCTGTATTACCGTAGAGCTGTCTGAGTCACTCTGCAAGTCTCGTAATTGTCATTTAGAAATTTGCTGTAATGCTAGCTCATGTTGAGCGATTTTTATATATATAAAAAGCTAGCTAAATGTTTTCTTGTTGTAGCCCATCTTAAAGTATGACTGCATCTTTCATTGCTTTCGCTTCAACTGTGAAACAACAAACTTCTGCTTTGTAACAGAAGGCTGTATTCCCGATGATTATTTTTTTTTGTCCTAATCCTGGTTCCTGTTCTCCAGGTCGCATGCCCTCCACCCTGCGGTGCTGCTGTATGGCCAGCACTGCGAGCATGAGAGGCGACGGACGCATCGGCTCCCCAGCATAAACGCAGACGGTGCGAGCACAGCATGCTTCCCGCTGGCCCATGATGGACCGAGACACCTTCTCCCACATCCGACTATGGTGCCCGCGCCCCTTTGGAACCTACTCCCAAAACAAGCCCAGAGGGGGGGCCTGTGGTGCAGGGGCCTCCTTCTGCAAGGTCGACGCCGCGGGACGTACGACCTCGGAAGCGGCCGGGGCGGGAGACGACCAGGAAGATGCCGGCTCTGAGAACACACCCCCTGACCCAGCCCTGCCCTCTAGTGCCCCTGCAGTGTCGGCTCCAGCCCCCTCCCCGCCTAGCGCCCCTATGGAGGATGGGCGGGTGCTGCTCGATACCTGGTATGTCATCAAGCCCGGCAACACCAAGGAGAAGATCGCCTTCTTCGTGGCTCACCAGTTCAGTGGTATGGGCCTTCCCCGGCCCAGCGCCATGAAGGTCAAAGGGAACTGGGCCACAGACTGCACCAAAGCCAAGCGGCGGAGGCGCTGCTCATCCTACGACCCGCCGGCCCGCGCGCGTGACCCCATCCCCGATAGCGCCCCACAGATCCCCCCCGGCCCTGAGGATGGCCTCAAAGTCGGGGAGACAGACCTGCTGTCGGTCGCCGAGATGGTGGCACTCGTGGAGCAGCGCACGGCCATGGCACTACAGGGCATGGTTGCTCAAGGCCCGGTGCCCCCTGGTTCGACCCAGTTGCGTGGCTCCCCACTGGAGCCCACGCCGCTCGTGTACCTTTCGGAACCCCCTGAAGCCCAGGCCCCATTCACCTCAGCTATGGAGCAGCAGGAATCGCGGCGCGTGGCCCAGGCGGTCGCCCACTTTGAGCAACAGCAGCTGGAGAACAGGCTGCTCCGGGCAGGAAACGGGCCACAGACTGGGGAGAGTGACTGCCAGGGGGACAAGGGGGGCAGGGGTCCGCATAGGCGTGGCGAGGTCAGGATCGCCTTCCGGGTCTCCAGTCTGGATCCGAGGTCTCAGTCAGAACCAGCAGGTCGGCCCAGCTGCATGTTCATGAGCTGTGGGGGCTCGGGGAGTCAGACGGGGGCTCGGGCCAAAGAGAAGATCACGTGCGACCTGTACCAGCTGGTCAGCCCGTCCAGCCGAGATCCGGGCCTCCTGCTGCCCACGCCGGCCAAACCAGAGCCCCATGGGGACAGCCCCACCGAGCATCTCGTCACTGGAGTCCCTGGCTCCGAGGCGGCCCAGGACTCAGGCCTGGGGGACAAAAAGGCAGCGGGTCGCGAGCATGTGACGGGTTTCCATGTGGAGGTGGTGGTGACGGGCGCCGTAGACCAGTGTGTCTTTTATGGCAAGGACAGCACGGAGAACGTGCAGGAGGAGACTGTGTGCTTCGCCATGGGGAACGGCACTCCCTCTACGGACGCCAGCGAGGACCCTCCTCCTGGACAGCTTTTTTTCCTGCAGTCCCCCCGCCCTGAAGACGAGGCAGGGGCTGACGTCGGGGGACTGCGCCCGGTGGAATGTGGCGGTACCCACGGGTCCGCAGTGGGGGTGCCGGAACGGCCTGATTCCCCCTCGGCAGGCTCAGATGACTGCCCCGACTCGTCGTCCTCCTCGTCCTCCCTGTGCCGCCTCTACCGCCACGTCTCGCACGACTTCCTGGAGATCCGTTTCCAGATCCAACGGCTGCTGGAGCCCCGGCAGTACATGCTGCTGCTCCCGGACCACATCATGGTGCACATCTTCAGCTACCTGCCCACGCGCTCGCTGGCTGCCCTCAAGTGCACCTGCCACGACTTCAAGGCGCTGATCGAGACGTACAGCGTGCGCGCCACCGACTCGCGCTGGAACCAGGACCCGCTGTACCGCGACGACCCCTGCAAGCAGTGCAAGAGGCAGTACGCACGTGGCGATGTCTCCCTGTGCCGCTGGCACCCCAAACCCTACCACCACGACCTGCCTTACGGACGCTCCTATTGGATGTGCTGTCGCCGTACCGACAAGGACACGCCGGGCTGCCTGGTGGGTCTGCACGACAACAACTGGGTGCAGCCCTGTGAGTTGGTGCAGAGCCGTGCCAAGAGGGAAGACGGGAGGTGAGGGTAATGGGGGCGGGGGGGGGGGGCACCCCATCCTGCCCCTTACCCCATCCCCTTACTGAGGTCTGGGTCACTGCTCTTATTTGTTCACCCCCCCCACCCCTTTCCCGTAAAGTTGATATTGGTTCATGCCACTTTCACCCAGCACATCTCAAAATAGCCGAACACTGCCGATATCTCGGCTGCGGCATGTGACACTGGATCCAAGCAATGCGGTGGTCTGATTTTGCACCCCCCCCCCCAGCCTTCCCATGACCAATCCACCCCATCCCACTCATAGCACACACTGACCTGTTCCGGCACTGCCTCAGGGGAGGGTAAAGGGTGGGGAGGAGGGGTGTGGATAGGATGCTTTTGTTGGGAATGGGGGGAAAAAAAATCTGGGAGTGGGGGGGGGGGAGACAGCAATTTGATGTCATTTTGTACAAGTGGTGTGAGGTTTGCTTGTTTTGTTTATTTAGGGGGGCGTATGAATTTCTCTACTTTTTATTTTCCCAGGGTGTTGCATTTCCATCCCCTGTTGGGATGTTTTTTTTTTTTTTTTTTTTAATTTTTTTAAGAGGTTTTTATTTCAGGCCCGGCCTATCCTGCCACTCCCCATTCTTTGTCTCTCTCTCTCTCTGCTGGCCGGCAGAGGCCATGCGTTGCCAAAGCCGCTGCTCTGCGTGGGGAACACTGGGACTCGGTCCACGAGAACTCTGAAAACCAGCTTCCAGCCTTAAATCCTGGCCCCGTACCCCAACTCCTCAAACTGAAAAAAAAAAAAGTCAGGAAGAATAGTCCGTTCTTCTGTTTTTGGGAGACCCCTGTTGGTGTCTGAGCTGTGCAATGCTACATGGGAATTTCTGCTTCTCAAATAAACTGAAGTGATTTAAAACTGGAAACTGTTTTATGGTGGGGTTTTTTTAACTCATGAAATATTTTGAATGACACCTACATTGAATTGAAGGTGACAGGGGCCACAGTAAAATGTCGTCAGTACTAATTAAGAGTGTGTGCCTTTGCATGTTCTCGTGTACCTTAGAAAACATGGATCCTTAAATGTAATGGCTGAGATCAATTTTAGCCTCGAATTCCAAACGTTTGAAGAATTTGAAAATGTATTATGGCTGGTTACCCGCAGCCTTCAGACCTGAATCGGTTAGTTCAGGGTGGGCATGGAGGCCTGTTCTGGGGTATTTTTTTCCTTCAGATGAGTAGGATCAGGGATATATGGTAGAATGAGTTATCCATGCTTTTGGACCAGTGGCTTTCATCTGGTCCTGGGGATTATGGGGGTGGCTTCCTTCATTCAGCATGATTTGGCTGAGCTGTTAATCTCATTCCACTATACATCAAACACCACAGGTGGATAGTTCAGGTGCACATAGTAAAAATCCAGACCAAGACTTTGTTTCAACCAACCAGTTGCGTAATCTGTGACCTGATTCTATATGCTCAACTGGGTGGTTGAAACAAAATCTTGTTCTGGATTTTTACTTTCTGTGCCTGAACTCCACACCTCAATCACACACTTACTAACAAACATGGACAAAGTGTAAACTGCATATATTCAGGACCGTGACGGTATTGAATTTGGGTGTTCATTGGAATTTCAGCTTGGGCACACAGTAAATGGATTCTTTTTTTTGCATTCTATTTGAAGTGAAGTTTGACAGTTCAGTAAACCATTATTTGCTGACTCTTGAAGATTCCCCGAGTGCAGTGAAGGCCCAGAAATTGATTTGTGAGTATATTTTCTGTGCTGATAACCTATTACGTTTAACAATCCACCTCTTGCACAACTGCTCAGTGTGTCAGCCTATGTGTTAAATGTTTTTACTGTCTTCACAGCATTAGTTGTTAGAAACCAGTTGATATTTTACACTTTAAAAAACCATTAAGCAAGCAAATCAAGTATGACAGCTGGGTAACCTGCCTGATTGGCTGTTTCCTCCTAAGCAAAGTATCCCCACATGAAGATGGCCACGGCCATCATAATAAGGGCGTTGCTATTGACGACGTGTTGCCACTTCGGGTCCTCTGTGATGCTGGGTAGCCGGTCAGAACTCTCCACAGCTTCTTGCTCTGTGGGTTCTGGTGTCTGTGTGGAACTTACGCCGCAGAACCATCCAATCAGGCGACTGAGTGTGGACTGGGACCCACCTCCATCTGCTACGAGTCAAAAGGGAAACCAGACTCATGCAACACAATTGGCATATACTGGTTAATGAAAAGGATGAACTGTTACTTCAGGTATTGGGAAGGAGACGTGCTTCCATACCGCTGAGAAAAAACCTACATTGATGCAGCGCTAAGGTGCATAACTGGCTTTGGTTGCTATCATCATCTTTCTCACCTGGCTGCTCACTGATCTTCTCAGCCGCTTCCCTGCGGGCTATCCTCCCACGCTCCTCTTCCTCCCAGTCCAGGTCATCCCTTGCTTCCTTCGAGTGGCGGAGGCTGAACACCAGGCGGTGAAGCTGGTTAAAAAGAAAGGATTACCGAGCATCTCTGTAAAAGAAAATCCCAGGGAGTAGACAATTGTAACCCTTCTCTCTACCGCAAGTCACTTGACGAAAGCATCAGACAAATGAAGCTAAAATGTAAATGAATGAATCTTCCCAAGAATATAACTTCCTATAAAAAGAAGGAAATGTTACGCTAAAAAAATCTTTAACATACTATCAGTTTAATTCATGTGGGGAATAAATCTGAATTTGCAGAAAGATCCCTTAAAATATCACCCAAAAACCAATAATCACTTTTATCTCATGATTTTGTTTTTACAGCTGATAAGCACCGTATCAGGCCTTGGCAACCCTGATCCAGGAATGCCGGCATCCAGCGGGTTTTCCATCCTACCTGATGAGTTACTATCTGCCTGAGATCAGGTAGGAATGAAACCTGCTGGGTACCAGCACTATCTCTGCCCTTTGTGCTGAGTCAGTAAAATACACACTTAAATTGGTACAAATGGTCCTCCATTGTGACATTTCCTACACACGCAAAAACACTGAATTACAAAGTAGTATAAAGTTTTCAAAAGTTTTGCTGTTCCACATTTCTGTCTGGAAATAAATTAAGATATGAGGTTGTGAAGCATATCAGCTTGTACTGTCACTCAAACCATGTAGCTGGTTTAAATGAGGTTGTAATTGACAGCATATAGTTAATCCCACGCGCTACACATTCCTCCAAATGCTAGTAAAAACAGGTCATCATAAACATAGTAAAGACCATCATTCTTTTATTGTTTTAAATACTACTTCGTGGAGGGGTGGTATAATGCAGTGGTTAGCACTGTCACTTCACAGCTGTGGGACCTGGGTTCGAGTCTCCGTGTGTGTGGAGTTTGCATGTTCTCCCTGTGCCATCGTTGTATCTGCCACCAAAGTGTGTGTGTGATGTAATGGGTTGGCACCCCATTCTGGGTCATTCCCTGCTTTGTGCTCATGGGCACCAGACCTCCTGTGAACCAAATTAAAGAAGGTGGACGGACCATTTTTAGAGATTTAATGGGTTAACAAAATTAAGTCATTAATTCTACATTATGTAGATATTACTATTAGCAATTATGCTGTAAAGCTGATGGTCCATGGAAGACAAGATGTTTTTAGCAGCAACTGTAAACATGTTGCATAAACAAACATTTCCTTATTATGCAAGAATTCCTGGCTGAGAATGAGTGCTTCAGCTACTAGACTGTTAACATCCTGTTTCAGTTGGTACAGGACAAGGAGACAAGCACGGGTGAATTAAATGTGTGGCTCAGGTCAGACACCTGTGAAACGTACAATAACACAGCAGTTCTGTATTTCTGAGTGCTCCTTAGTGAGGAGTGAGGGGCGATGGCTCACGTGTCTGTCTGGGATGGCTGGCGTGCAGTGGCTGATGAAGAGCACCAGGATGCCAGTGCAGAGGAAGAGCAGCATTGCAAAGTGCAGGTAATGGAAGCCGCACACCAGCGGGGGGCAGTCTGAGGGGAACAGGCAGCTCCCCGTCCCAAATGTGAACTCTGGGATCATCCGGCACAGCCCCATGCTCAGACCCCCGACGAGACCCCAGAAAGCCCCCTGAAAAAGGAAGTATTGGAAGAGAAAATGAATCAAGGCTAGTGTTTAATATGTTGCCTTAATCCACAGTAGCACCAATGTCAATATAACTTTAATTCACTTTGCTGTAACGCAGAAATTGTCCTTAGGATTAGGGTGACCACCTAGGGACACTATGAGCTACAAATTGCTTTAAAACCGAAAGGCTCCTGTACTTGGCTGAATAGTTCAATTCTTCTACTTTTACTGGTTTGTTTCCTTGATTTAGACTGTTTCACATTAACATTAGTGACACATGCTTGATTTCAGGAGACTGACCAATCAGCACACAGCAAGAACTCGGAGCTGAAGTGAAATCCAGGTCTTTTTAATTGAAATGGTAGTTTGCAAACCCTGTCGTAGCTCATAGTGTCCCCACTGACCTGGATCAGCCTACCTTAGATAAAGCTTAACTTTGGAAATAATAATGAAGCTGTCCATTGTCACATATCACAGAAATTGCTCACTGTACTGTCCATAATTCCTCTTAACACCAAGCACTTGCTGCTGGTTCTTCCCTCACCGGTTCGTTGACTCGCTTTACAAATACTGCAAGAAAGAAGACTGCAGCGATGGGCGGGGCCAGGTAGCTGCTCACTGATTGGATGTAGTCAAACAGCTGACCACTCTGGGCAGCCTGTACTACTGGGATCCAGCAAATACTGATAGACACAATGCAGAGGACCCACACTCTGAAAAACCGAGAGAGAAAGAGAGACGGAGGGTCACTGGATAATATTCATCAAAATGACAGTTTTGTTGGTGACGTTTCTGTTGGCGCATGATTGAACATGCCTGACAAAAAATTTGATTTAATATATATCTATCATCAAAACCTCATAAAATAGAGACATAGGCACTGTTTATTGATACCGAAATAAGTCAGTCACACACACACACACACAGCTAGAAGATACAAACCTTCCCACGATCATCAGCTCCCGTTCACGGGCCTGTGGTCTCAGACGGGTCCAGATGTCCATGGTGAAAAGGGTACTGCTGCTGTTGAAGATGGAGGCTAGAGAGCTCATCAGGGCGGCTAGCATCACTGCCAGCATGAGGCCCCTCAGGCCTGGGGGGGGGGACGATTGTGGAAGGGAAGCCAGGAAAGAAGGGCAGCAAGAAAGCAATCGGGGGAGCAAGGAGACACATACATGTACTTCAGTGATTTTGACACTGGCTTAATCTATTTATCTATTTATTGTAAACCAAGGGGTGTCAGAGGACATGGATACACTGGTGGATTTAAGGAGCCCAGCACTTTATAGGGACCCCAGAATATGAAAGATTATACTTTATACTGTTGAGGAACATGGTTCTCCCGTGAAGGACCCCTAACATGGGACCCAAGGTTACATTGTCTGGGGGCCCAGAATTTCTAGGTATGCCCCTGTCAGGGGCTCGTATATTTCAATTGTAATTCTAATTTTATATTTCAGCTGTGGATCCTGAATTGAAATGAAGAAATATGAACAAAATAGAATTTTCATCAGTTTCTACATTAAACTTAGTGACTGTGTGGGACTTTCATATACAGTGCCAGTCAAAAGTTTGGAGACACCCACCCATAGAAAGGTTTATTTGTTGTGGGCAAGTCCCACAATGTGTGTGACACTCAAATACTTCACAGGTAAATCCCACAGTGTGTGACTCTCATATACTTCACAGGCAAATCCCACAGTGTGTGACTCTCATATACTTCACAGGCGATTCCCATGCTATTTAAATACGCTTGTCGATCAGGTGGGGTTCTCCCAATCGAAAGGCTGGCGGCCGCATCATGAGTGGAAAGCAGAGGTCTCCGAAACAGGTGGCAGGGAGCACCTTGAGTATTTTCATTAGAGTATGAAACTACATCACCATCAGGCATAACAGACACCACCAGCTTGGGGTAAGCGATGTTGGAGCAGCCCACCTCCGTCCCGCAGACTCGCTTGCATATCTCAGGAACCACACAGGCCACCTCGTCTGCCGAGAGAAGGGGGGGGGGGTTCACAGAGGCCTGCTTTGGGAAAGTGACTCAGAGGCATCACTAGAAATTTCTGAAAAAGGGCCTTTTCTGATTTTAATCAGGTGACCAGAAAATCTATGTCAGGGAGGACACTTTGAGCCAGGACAGGATTTGTAGAGTACCATTTCAATGAAAAGAACCTGGATTTCACTTCAGCACTAAGTTCTTGCTGTGTGCTGATTGGTCAGTCTGCTATAATCATGCATGTGTCACTAATGCTAATGTGAAACAGCTGGATGAGTCTTTCAATCAAGGAAGCAAACCAGTAAAAGCACAAGAAGAACTAAGCTATTCAGCCGAGCAGTTTTTTAAAGTAATTTGCAAAACCTGAAGTGCCGCAAAGTGTCCTCCCTGACATGAATCATCTGATCACCCTAGATTTTAACAAAAAAATTAAGGAGAACATACTATTTAAACCAGCTGATGTACATTTATTAGGGGCAGCTAAAGACCATTATTTGGTGGTAAAGCTACCCTAAAACAGGCCTTGTGATGCCCCAGGGAGAGTCTATTGGCTTTATAACACGGAAAACATCAAAACATCGTCTCTGAAGCATTAACAAATTGGCCAGTTGTATCACTGCTACATGATATATTAATCTTACTGTAGCCAAAAACCACAGTTAGCCTTGGATGTGACCTTTTTAATTAGGGCTATTAAAACTGTATTTCATAAGGTTACCAATACCTCTAAGCTATTTGTCGCTCATCAAATAGAACGTTGTGCTAATATTGCAAAGGTTGTGGGCTCAAATCCCAGGGAGCACACATAAGTCGTAACTATTCCTTCTACTGTAAGTTTCTTTGGATAAAACCGTCACATAAATATTACATATATTTACAGTTATTAAGATGCTCCAGTAAGACATGTACAACCATTAAGTTATTTTTGTGCTCAGGTGTAATTTGGTCTGACTCTTCAGATAATGATACGCAGGGCACGTTTAGGGCAATGTTGCCAACCAGGTCGGACAAAGGGCAACTCATCTGAATCTGGATGATCGCGAAAAGTTGCCCACTGCCGATCGTGGTTTTTCAAATAGAAATTTGTTGCCCAATATCAATGGCAAAATACCCAAGCAACATCAATCAGCAACATTACCCAGCAATATGTCTCTAAAAAGTTGTCCTGGGCAACGTCACCCTGCCACTTGATTGGACGGAGGCCGTGAGGAGGACTAACCGGGGTAGAGGGCCCTGCTGATCATGCCAGGGAGTACCATGAGAAACATGGGCAGCAGTTTGAGGTACCCGCACAGGATGCAGCCAGCTTTCACGTGGCTGAGGCTGCGGCCAGCCAGGCAGCGCTGGACAATCACCTGTGAGGACAAAGGTGTTGGCGGTTGGCGGCGTGTGGCTTTACCCGTCGGTGCCATTAGTTTTGCAACTTCAGGTTAATAACTGAGGAGCAAATTTCCCAAAACTCACTCAGTCCACTTTTTAATCGTTCGTGCGATGAGATTGCTGTCGACCTTAAGTCAGGCTTCCTCATCACATGTTACTGCATTGGCAACCGAAACTCACTTTGTCCAGTCCTGTTATCCACTGAAGAACAGTAATAAAACAGTGGAAGAACTGAATTCACTGAGTGAATTTTGGAAATCTGATCTTCAATTTTACTTTGCCAGAGCTGGAGCGACTAATATTAAGTTTAAGTAGGCTTAAAATGAATAAATATGACTGTGTGGTATTTTGCTGCCTGTGCATTTAGGGACTGAATAAAAACAATGCACATGTGATGCATTATCATTTATTGTCAGTGTTTTGGCTGTGGGGCATTTGTTACGTACTTCTGCTGGGACCTTAAGTGTCTGTCTTTTCCCTTCATATTGTATTTTATCCATTTAATCCAACTCTATTCATCCGCCCAGAGTAATTTACTGAGTCAGTGTGTATCCCCTGCATAGTGTAACCTCCTCGATGTATTTTCATATATCCATTAATCCTCCATGACAGCTTATCCAATATAGGGTCATGATGTTAATGGGGAATCCCAGGGCGCATGGCAGGGGACACCCAGGGTAGGATGCCAGCCCTCTGCGGAATGCACAGTCACACGCTTTGGGAAATGTTAATATACTGATGTAATTAACTGCATGTCTTTGGAGTGCAGAAGAAAACTAGGAAGCAGAGGAAGAACTTGCACCATCTACGCATAGTACCAGTGGTGGGCTTTGGAAACCCTTAAACCTTGAGGTGTGAGGCCTGTTATGCAGCGTTTCCCAATCTGGTCCTCGGGGACCCACAGTCAGTCCATTTTTTTTTCTCCCTCTGAGCTCCCTGCCAGACTGGAGCTGGGAGGGAGCAAAAATGTCGACTATCTATGGTCCCCAAGGACCAGATTGGGAAACACTACAGTAATATATTTTACTTGCTTAATATCCCCAGTGTACATGACAGGTAGCATCGGCTCACCTGGTCGCTGCACCAGTACCAGCTGCCCACGATGGCGATGCCAAAGATCACTCCGGGCCAGGGTAGGTCCCCGTTCACCGGGTCTCGCAGCAGGTGGAAGGCGTCACTTCGTGGCTGGTAGCATGCCAAGGAGATGTTGTAGAGCTGGGGTTGTGGGGATTGCCTGACGGTAGGCAGAGCCTTAGCGTACTTCTCAAGTAGGGCACTGTAGCCTCCAATCTTCACGAAGGCTGGGTATTGCGACAGAAGAAGGGGTTGTGTCTGAAGCATGTACATGTTTCACTTATTCGCAGGAGTGAGTATCTGTCCATCATTCTGTTTTCCTTTATTGGTGTACATTATTGAATCACCAACTGGGTAAGCTTGGTTATCAGTGGTGAGCCGGGTTCCGCTAATCTGCTAACTAGCAAAGCTAACCTTTTGGTTAGCTATGCCCACCACTGGAATCTACCCGCTTTAATGAGATACCAGTCTACTGCACTCACAGCCCTGGAGATGTGAGCCAGCTGTGTTAGTCAACGTGCTAGCAAAGGAATGTTTCCTTTAAAAATGTCAGCATCAGTTTTTCAGTCTAAATAACTCAAAGAGTTGGGGTCAAGGAAATGCCCACTACTGCCGATTTGCATATTTTCCTGTGTGCTACTGTGTTTGATTCTCGGCGAGTTACTCACAGAAACCCGTGAGGACGAAGGCTCCGACGATGATGACAAATGTCTGGACGGTGTCTGTGTACATAAGGGCAGCCAGCCCACCTAAAACGTAAACGTGTAGCTGATTATGTAGTGCATAGAGTCAGCATGATGTATAGACTCATTTATTTATTTAATAGTCACTATATCCAGGGCTGCGTGACCATTATATATGAGAATAAGTGTAACGTGGAGCCACTGGCAGTATATTCAGACTAATCTGCAAGAGCTTGTCAAGATTTCAGGCTATTAGGCTTAATAGTCACGTCATTAGACTAATAGAGTATCAGTGTTTCAAAGTGATGTCACCTGTGACTGAGTATAAGGCTGTGATGGACAGCAGGGCAATTACAGATACATAGATATTCCATCCCAAAGCCTGCTGGATGAATATCGCTCCTGAGAACATGTCGACCTGAGAATTAAAGGCAGAAGGAGAGAGGCAATGAGCGAGAGAGGAGCTAAGACCTAATCCACACCTTTTTTTCATAAAATCAATCCGTCTTAAACAGCTGCTATTTAACTGGACAATAAATTACCCCTGTTAATGGGAATCACATCTGCCTGGTATGGCTTTATAAATATATAAAAAGTAAAATGCTACATTGTGTCATTTTATTATTTAGACGTTTTTCTGCTGACGTTGCTGGTTACAAGGTCCAAGCTACTTTCACTTATAACATTCCCATAAGGCTTGGCTGTATAAGTCACATGAACTGCCTTAACCGAAAAAGCCATCGGCTTTATGGCAGACAGATGGATGTACTCACGGAAATCTTGGTGAAGATGTAGAGGAACAGAGAGATAACGGATAAGTACAGACTGATCCTGTTACCTCCGAACCTTTTCTTCAGGTACTGAGGCATGGTAATTACCTGCATCGTCAAGGCAACAGGAGGGGAAACAGGGGAAGAGTAGAGCATAGGACTGACAAGGAAGCAAAATTATGGGATGCTTTCCAAAGAATCTGTCAGATCCCTCTAAATAGTTAAATTGCAAATGGAGTTGTTAAGGAACTTTGTAATTTCACATTTCTCCTGCTGATAATAACATTATAGAAGGATCATTCTTAAACATGTCTTCTACTCAAGAGTATTCTCCAGCTTAATAATTATATCCTAAAATTTTGGAGCATGGTAATCGAGGTACTCCTAGTGTTTGTCGTTAATAATCCAACTCACCCCAGCAGTCAGATAAACAGGGACAAAGAGCCAACCCAGCAACAGCATGATGAAGAGAGCCTGAGCAAGAAGGGCAATGACACGAAAAAGAAAATGTTTAACCACATCTATTACCATCCCATTCGTAAGCTTCCAATTTAGCCTATGGCGTAGTGAGGGGAAGTGCAATTACATTCCATTCGAAGCCCCCGACGGCGATCCCGCTGGCCGCTCCGGTCCCGGCCAGCCCGACAAAATGGCCGCTGCCGATGTTGCTGGCAAATAAAGAGGCGCCCACCTGTTACAGGGAATAGCCAGAGAAATGGAGACGAAACACAAGCATATCGCTGAAGCTCTTTAAGGATGTACAGTAGGAGTAGGGAATGAAGAGGGTTGTCAAAAACCAAAAGATGGGATTAATTTTGAGGATAAAGGAGAAGGAAAAATTTGCCGTATGGATGGAAGCTTTCGACAGCTTTCCAATATTGTTGAAGCAAGTGACACAACATTGCGGACAGTGTTGTCCTTCAATAACGTATGACTGAATTATTATTAAATTAGTGTTCGACTTTGTTCTCTTACCGGCCACCAGATCATGGTCCGACCTGCTAGAAAGTAACCCCTCACCGTGCTGCGATTAGTCCGGAACATGGACTGCAAGACAGAACAGCCGATTTGCTCATAATGAGGGTCCTAGTGAGTAGGTTCACGGATTGCCAATGTCATATCCATGATGCGACATATTTAACGACAAATATAGCACGTATGCACTCAAATATACACATGAAAGCCATGCCTTAACTAGCAAACTTGCAATGTAAGGGACATAATGGACGTACCCAGATTCCCACGCCAATGACCATGAGGAAATAGCCGACGATGACAGTGATGTCGGCTGGGTTGTTGATGGTCACTTTTGTGCTGATATTTTCAGATGCCGGCTTCTCCGTCTCGGTCCTGGTGTCATAGACACCTTGATCCATGACAACAATGAAGAGCAAAAATCAGCTAAAAACCTGAAGTTTCCTTCTTTGGAAGCAATAAAATCAATGGCTTTCAAAATAGTAATTCAACAAGTCTCTCCTGATACAAAACAGGAAACAGAGTGATAAGGGAAGAAACTCCTATGGATTTTTGCAGATTTTCAAAGAGACAGGGGGATGGTGACAGAGTAAGGGTGGAGGTAAAGGTGGGAACCTTTGGTCACTAGAAAAGAGGATGATGCAGAAATGTACCAACAGCCCTAATAATTAACACAGTGACTAATATCCACACATCACACATCAGCAAAGCTTCTTAATATGTAACAGCCTTACAGAACCACAAGACAGTGACAACACTTGGATGTAACTACAGCTAGTGGTGGTTCAACTTGGAGACAATACCTACAGCCTCTATATCACCACTTTGTTGAACTGTCCAGTATAGAATGAGCTTATAAATCACCCACAGAAAAGCTGAACATAATTTTACTCTTTATATGTACCTCGTTTTTCTGTATGATTTGTATGGAAATACTTGAATACATACTTGATACTTGATGGCAAAACAGTAATAAAACAGTGTTTTAGTGTTTTAATTCAATCACACGTGATAGTAACATTATTAAAATAAGCTTTATGCGGAGAGCAGCAACATTCCATGCCCACCTAAATCCATGTAAAATAAGCATTTTGCTTTTATCAGTGAGTTTATGGTGACTGGAAACGGAATTCGCGTTTTTTTGCGTGACCTTGACGCCGTCACCAGTGCGAGCAAACAGGCTCTAACCGCTTCTGAGCTCCGTGGACTGAAAACTCATTCAAGGAGCCAATCATGTAGAGACACTCTATATGGTGCTCAGTGTAGATCAGGTGGGCTGAAGATCTTAGCAGGAGGAGCCGTAGATGGGTTTGAAGATGAATTTCCTGAACGGCGAGTGCTGTTCAGAGAAACCCACTTTAATGTATAACAGCTTGCTGGTTAATCATCTGCTCCATTTTTAGACCACGGCTGTCAGGTTCCAGAGAAAAGCCACTGTTAAAATGTAAGGAAAATTGAACCTGGGCACGCTCTGTGTTACTGTGTCCTATAGCCAACCTTATGAACCACTCAACATCAGCTAAAAGAAAATAGATATATTGAGTAAGATACCATTCCCTGAACACCAGAAACGACGCAATATACCTATTGGTCAGGATTGTTGTGTGGAAAAAAAACAAATAATGACAAAAGACATGCGTGTCTTGAAGCTGTGCACCAATATGACACAATTTTTGTTGCGGACTGTGGGCTTACACAATGATATTACTGGAATATTCTTCCTCTTGTTGAGGGAAGATGTAGTTAGAGTTGCTGCAATTGAAGTCCTGCATGCAAACAAGGGGGATCAAATATTGGCAACAGTACAGGTAGGATATCCTCCTTCCCTGAATGTGCCCTTCAGCAATAATACTAATATGAGGTTGTGTGTTAGCAACAGCTGTCTTTCAGAATATGAGGACCTGTCTCTATAAGTAACTGTTCCAGTCTCTGTGTATCATGACGAGGCTGTAAGTTCAAATCGGGAAAGCTGGAAAAAAGCTGGTCAGTGGTGGCACTGCGAAGCCAGCAGCATGAGATAAAGCAATTCAGTGAGTGATGCTGGGAGAAGCTGTGCATTTGCCAGAAATATCCAGAAAACATCAAATGTGACTGATGCAGCAGGATTTTAGGAAGTTAGTCATAACTAGTGAAACATGGGGGTTATAGCATTATAGCATGGGGGTGCATCTGCTCAGTAGGACAGGGAAGCTCGCTAAGATGGAAGGAGAAGATGAGGGAGCAAAGCAGGTCAGATGCCAGAGGAAAACACCTCTTGGTACGTTTAAAACCGGGACTGGGTGATTCATGCTTCTGCAGCACAGTCAATGAAATCATAAGAATCTTTGAAGAAAAGACTCAAGAGCCACCTGGCAATTTCAGGGCTTTAATGAAATCTGCCAAGAAGAATAAAAAAGGGAAGAAAATTGTACGCTGGCAGTGTGGGAACTGGGTGGAGACTCCGCAAGAAACTGACAACAGCTTCTCCACAACAACACCTTTCTCCCTATTTTTTTAATCTATAAAGTCTTCCTATTGAGCTTTCTGATTTTGACTAAAGAAAAAAGTTAAATTTTAAAAAATAATTATAGTTCTGGAATGTTAGCAGAGGAAGAATGTTATGCTAATTTTTATGCAGATTTGCTGGAAAAAGAAAAAAGGGAGAACCATTTTTGAGAACCATCAATAACCCAGACCTCCGTCTCCCCTGTAAGGTGATGACCTTGTAAAAACAATAGTATTTAATGGAACTTTATCCAAAATCCAGCATGTTCTGTGTGCTTCATATCTGGGCTGGACTCACATGGGATATATATGCAAACACACTGCTTCTGCTTGAAACATCCAAGGTCGATTTGCAAAACCACTTAAGCTAACACAAGCATTAAAATAAGTGTATGAGGGTCACCGTTTGAAATAACATTAGTAGAGGATGTGAATGTAATTTCATATATGGCGAGTCTAGCGTATAGTAAGAGATGATATAGCTGTTCTATGGAACCAATCATTTATTTTCCTTATACTGCCCTTTGGATAACAGGCAAGATGGATTAGACCTTGGCAATGGACATTGGCTTATTAAATATGGAATCTCATGTTTTCCTTTCTGGTGAGGAAGCAGTCCAAACCAGGGGGGAGATATCACCTACAGACTCTGCTGTCCTACTGGGAGACTTCAGTGCTCATGTGGGGAATGATGGAAATGGCTGGGGGGATTTGACTGGGAAGAATGATATCCCATATCGAGAGGTGGATAATTCAGGTCCAGAAAGGAAAAAGCCAAACCAAGGCTTTGTTTCAACCAACCAGTTAAGAACTCTGCCCCCGTGACTCTTCATACTCAACGGGTTGGTGTGAAACCTGTACTTTCTGGACCTGTGATGCCCGCCTCTGCCCAGATCTCAAAATTGGGAATTATTAGACTTCTGGGTTTCATCCCGTGGGTTGTTCTTAATGAACACCATGTCTGGGCACATCAAACAATAAGCACTGAGTTGGATTCGATGCATGTGGAGGCCAAGTGGGCCAAGATGAGCAGGCAGGGTTTACTGGGAGTATCTGGCTGAAGCTCCTCTGCCACATGAATTTAACTTACCTCTGTCAGCACCAGTGAGGTGTGGGTAATGGATCCAGCTTCCCAGTAGAAGTGACCCAAATGAGGTTTCTTCACATGGTTGCTGGACTCACTCTCCGCGACAGGGTGAGGAGTTTGGGACCTCAAAATAGAGCCACCGAGCTAAATTAGAGCTGCTTCAGATTGCGAGGAGGCAGCTGATGTGGTTTGGCCTCCTATCAGGAGGCCACCCATGGAGGATTCCTGAATATGCTGCTCCAGGCTCCTCGGCCGGCTTCTGAAAGTCTGGGGATCCCCCATGACGAGCTGGAGGCCGTGGTCCTGGAAGAAGAAGCTTGGTCTGAGCTGCTTGGCATGATGCCACCATGATGCTAACCAGGAAACCAGCAGGAAGACCATGATAATGATGAATAGATTAAGTCTTCCAGATAAAAGCCCATGCTGAATACTGGAAAATATGTACATTTATTAATCTTTTACAAACAAAAAGACAAAGATGACATTCCGTAGAAATTAACTTAAAAAATATATATATTTTATCTGCTGTAATGTGGAACCCAAATGCAGAGTATCAGTGACTGACACGTTCTGTGGCCAAAAGTATGTGGACACCAGCTTGTCCAATGTTTCATGAAGAAACCATGGGTATTAATATAGCGTCTGTCCACTCTCTCTTGCTATAACTGCTCCTGCTCTTCTGGGAAGACCTTCCATTAGATGTTAGATCATTGCTTGTGGGATTCGCTGCCATTCAGGTTGCTAGGTGATTAAGTGCCTTTTTGAGATTTTTTTTCGTGGCTTGCCATTTTGCATATGAACTTCCAGATGGTTCCACTTCACTTCACTAGCAAGACAAATTTTGGGGACTGACTCGTCACAATGATGGCATCCAGTTGGAAGTTGCGAACCTCGTCTGGACTGCGAGCCAATGTGCTGCCAGTATTTCTTGCTGGTCATTGCATGGCTGTGTGCTTAATTATACACCCGTATCAGCGATGTGTGTGCTTGATTAATTAGCTAATTCCTTAGATGAACAGGGTTGTCCACATGTTTTTGGCTGCAAATCAGCAAATTTGCCAACAGTGGTCCCTGCTGGTTAGTATCGGTACTAATATTAATAGGATGATAAATTGACCAGGAAATAAGTCATTATATGGCATTAAATATTTCATTACTCTTATGAGACACGTAATATGTTGGTTTCGCTTTTTTCCCCACCCAGTCAATTGTTCTACCTAAATTAATTTTTCATTTGCATGTTGCTTCCCAAATCTTCAAGTATAATTTTTTTGAAGAATTACCCATCAGAATCATTATTACCTACATAACAGCTCAGTGTTCAGAGGTGTGCGAATAAGGTTAAAACACAGAAATGTATTTTCCATGGAAAAAGTTAGTGACTGAGCATAAGCAAACACATTCATAATTTTATTGGCTGAAAGTCAGGGAAGAAAATATCACTTAGAATAAAAGAATTAAATGTATTCAGCCATAACCACCTGTACAATCAGTCCTTTTGACAATGCTGGCGTTCAAGGGCAAAAGTTACCAGCCGTTTGATAATAAGTCCTCTAGTATTAACGATAAACAAAGCAAGAGGGTAATTTCCAGTCATACATTTGTCAAAACACGGGATCCAAGTACCGCTTTAGACATTTTCCAGTCTAATCTGGACACACTCAGAACCCCAAACAGAAACAGCTACTCTGTGGCCCAGAAACAAGCAGAGGTACCCCAGAGATCTCGAAAGGTATCAAAGAGCAATCAAACAGTTAAAGCTACGGTCAAGTTCAGAGAGAATGATGCTAAAATCAGGACCTGACACGCGACAGTTCTTAGAGATTTACAGATAATGACCCGCATTTATCAGGCAAGTTTACAAAGAAAAAGGAAACCAAACTTTTCCTAATTTTTCAGTCCTGCACAACAAAACACACCCTCTCGATGTTGCTGTGGCGGATTCGCAAGCTCCTTTGGTTTTTAATTCATTCACTCATTCATTAAAGTTGCTTAGCTAAAAATGGTGCTTCCGGTATCTCCAAAAAATGTCTTCTTGTTGACCTGAAAAGCCTCCATGGTTGAAAAAGACCAGGAAGTGCAAATTCAAAGAACAGAATCCTCCGTTGCAGTGATTTTGACAACTGAGCTTGAGAGTGAATTCCTAAGGGATTTTATAGCTCCTATGCATGTGGTGACCACTAGGGGGAGCGGTGTCACGTAGACTTCTGTCAAGTAGAATATATACTACTAAACACGATTCTAATCGGTCTCCCCATTTAAACTAAAAAGCGGTATTCCAGAAAATCAGTCCATTTTATACATCTGTATGCATCACAATTATGATTACTAATAATTAATCAAACTTATTTTCCATTTCAAGGAATTAACTACACTTAAATACTAAAGGCTACTTAAAAAGGGCATTCCCAAAAGTATGACAAAAAAAAGACATAATAATGGTTGTTAACCATGATTATAATATTATATTACTTTAAAAATATT